GGTAGTTTCGAGAGAAATAGTTCTCGGAAGAAACCATCGTCAAATGTTCGTGCACCGATTACTTCTCGCATGCGTGCGAGGACTTCAGTAGCTGAGTGGCTGCCTAGCTCGATGTTACGAAGCAATTCGTCTAGACGTTGGCGATCTGTGAGATCGCTTTTCTTCAAGAGTGCGGCCTTTAGAAGTGCATAAGGGTCACTTACTTCAGGATTAAACATGTTTGCTGTAACAACCTGTTTAATTCTCGCGGTAGTGACCGTATGACAGCAAGAAATCGAGATTGAGGATCTGAGACACCCTGTTCTCGAAAATCGGCCTCGGCATACAGAAACCATGTTTCTGCATTGTCTGGCCAATATGGCACGAGTTGGATCGTGTTCGAGGTCGGCTTAATACGAATAAGCTTGGGAGTGTGGTCGGACATGAGAAAGTGTAGTAAATGGATATATAAATGTTATCGAAATGAAAACAATAAACAAATATAAAATGGAACAGGCTCACCAATTCAATACTTGTTATTGGTCGGGATATGTGATCACGTCGGGCTCACCAATTTAGGATTTGTCCTGGTGCGAACTTGACAGACGCAAAGACCAATCACTAATTATTCGAACTTGTTATATACCCACGAATACGAGACCAAGGAAGAACACGATAGCGTAGTCGGATGGAATAGTATATTTGGATGGTTATGCCAAAATACCGATGCGTTCCAACTAACTGGCTAGAGAGTCGAATACGAGCAATGCAACGTAACACGACAGCGTGCCAAATGGCGAGGATGCTTGACCGGGTGCCTTCAGCTTAGCGAGTCCAGTTAAACTTTCAAGGTCAGCATCAATGTCGAGTCGTCAAACCCCAGGCTATCGATTTTGGGGAGGTGTGTGACGCTACACGACCGAAACTGACGAACTGTGGTTAAAGTAGCATATTCACTTATCCGAATGATAATGAGATCATAACCCAGATAGAATTCATTAGATTTTAAATGCTTAAAAGTTAGGACTACAGAGTCTTCAAATCTTTATCTTACTGCCAAGGAATCTGGGAAACGATAGTGAGTAAACAGTCATTTCGTTCTACATTTAATACGGATATGAGTGAAAACTATACGGAATATGGTTATAAATAATGTCGGGGAACGTATTTACGCTTCTAACAGCATTCTATGCCCAAAGTAGGAGGACCTACGAAGCGATATTCCTCACTCCCAGACTAAAAAGAGACCATTCCATGAAGTCATTTACTGTTCGTCCGAGCCGAGTAGGGACTGCCTGACTAGTATCTTCCGGACCACACTCCTGTGTAAGGTTGTACATTGATAGTTTCTCTGCCTGTCTATAAATTTGTTATTCAAGTGAAACGTTGGTGAACATAAAAGCCCATGGAATCGGCAAGCAGTGCAAGATGATGTTTTCAGGAATTATTCTTTTCCGTTTGATTGAAAATATCATCATCAGAAAAATGCGTGTCTGCATACAATTAGCTATACCTTTTGAATAATCTGAACCTTCCCAGAAGGATCACATATTCACTTTTGAGGTCCTTTGGTATCGGTTATGAACGACAAAATATTATCATTCTACTGCTCGCTGTCAAAATGACCGTTGCGATGCGTATCATGTGTAACTCTCATTTTTTTAAATCTGCCTAATCTGTTCTTCAAACTTATCGTAACAGCTTTGTTTCATGAATCGCTTTGGGAGAAACGAGAGCCAAAAAGTTTGTTCAGTGGATGTGGAATACGATGCTGAACGAAGACAAGTGCAAAAACAACTTTTTTTGTTAGGAACTAGGTTATGTGAAGCCGTAAAACAAATATATGAAAGTATTCAGTTGGTGGTAACCAAAATTACCTTTGACCAGTAATGCTAGTCGAAAATATCAGGAAAAATTATGGTAAAAAGGCCAATAAACATTTTACGTTGTGAAAGCGAAAGTGATAAAAGTTCACGATTGATTCAAAAGGTCAATAGATATTCAAACTTGGGTGGAGTAGAAAGCACTCTTAAGGGTAAAATCTGTTTACGGTAAATAACCCATCTCACCAACGGTAAGCACTGGCTAGTATTTACCAGAGTGTGCACTAAACTCATTTATAACCGGTATCGCCGAATCATTTTATCCAGCGACAACTAACCAGCTACAAGACTGAATACTGGCCAAACACACAGTTTTGAGTGTTTTATGCATAAGTTATCGATACTTTACTACTTCAGGTGTGGCATCAAATATTTCTAGGGGAAATTGTTTAAATTTTAGCTTCCTCTCCACACTTTACCTTGAATTCTTTACGTTGTCGCTCTCATCCCTTCCTATTTTTCTATCGGAGTAACGAAAAATACCAGTTTAACACCGAACGGAGTGTGTCGTATGAGACGGTTTGGTTTCCCAACCTCTTCTGCTGTTGCTGCAGCGCAGTTTAATGCAATCCTGAGCATTTAACCTAGCTTCGCTTAGCACCGGTAGTCCTTTCGCAAGCAACCGGATACTCTTGTAGCTATGAACCAAAAGTCGTATAGGTATTGGAAACGAAAACTATGGCTACCCGTTTCATACTGGATACTCTTGGGGTGAAGTACTGAACTTCATTCTAATAAAGCATATTTCTATGAACTATGGTAACTATTTATCAAGGGTCAGAAATAAAGTCATATCTCTACGAACAGGTTTTTCGAATTCACTCCCATTATAGTTATCGTGACTTTAACAGTGTACACATATGGACTTAAACTTCTGTGTGTCTCAAATTATTTGTCCAATAATCTTAATGCTGGGTAGGAACTTGACATTTTGCACATCCTGTACTGGATTTCCTCTTATTTAGAGCTAATTGTTTCAGTCCATCAAATGACATCAGTCACAAAATTCAAAGCCGTGAAAGCCAATAATCACGTATTCAGTGGGATAAATTTTTGCTGTTGTTGAAATAAATTGAAGATAAATGACTTAAAAACACCTTTATCTGAATAATGAGGGAAATGATGCTAAAATGTTAGGATCATTCGTTGAAGACAAAAAGCATTTGTTAAACTATTACTGTCAGAAATTAAGCGTCTGACCTGTGACATATTGATACGTACCAAGAGAACTAAACATACAACAGAGTGAACAAGCGTCATTTGTAGGCATTCAGTGCAAGAGTGTGTTAGTGCGACGGCAGGTCTTTTTAGAAGCATAATTTAAGTTACCAATATGTCGTTGATACAGAATAGTTACATTAAAATAATTCAATTCAGACTAAAATGACATATTCATGTTCTTGCCACACTGAGTACAAGTACAGAAGTCAAGGTAAGAAGGAAAACCACACGTGAAGAGGTTTGAAGACGGATAGAAAATAGCCTAGGAAACGCCGTGTTGCAAAATTTACAGATGCAGAGGCCAATCACTAATTATTCGTACTCGTTATATACCCATGAATACGAAACCAAGGAAGAACACAATAGCGTAGTCGGATGGAACAGTATATTTGCGAGGTTGTGCCAAGATACCGATGCGTTTTAACTAACTGAATAGAGGACCGATTCCGAGCAGTGTAACGTAACACGACAGCGTCCCAGATGACCTGGATGGTTGACCGTATGCCTTCACCTTAGCGGGTCTGGTAAAGCTATGAAAGTCACCATCCATGCTGAATCTCTTTGAACGCTGGAATATTGATTCTGGAGAAGTTTGTGACGCTACAAATTCATTGTTATGCTGGATAACAAGCAATACTTTATAACTCGTTTTTTTAAGGGCTGATAGGACCTGTATTGTACAAGGTATGGACAATCTAAGTACTAACATAACTGTTCAGAAGGTTAAAACATGTTCATTCCGAAATTAAGAATCATCCAGTCGTTTGAGCTGTCAAATATATTTGAAAATTGAGCGTATAGTGCAGCCATGGCTTTGAACTGTGTTTTCTATATGGAGTTGTGGTGGCATGATTTGGGCTGACAACTGTGTAATCAAAATATGGAATACAGTAAGTGTGGAAGGAGATTCTAGGATACCCTAAGATGATCTGCTTCATCTTGAGTCCTGGTCAGTTGCAATCGGTTCGTGTTTTGACCTGGTGTAGTGCATACACCGAAAGCGATGGGAACCAGCTAAATCCTCATTAAGTCCATAACCTTCAGGGCATCCTCTAAGAGGGACCTAGTACTAAATTTCTCTGACACACTGGAGACTAGTGCTAAATACACTGGAAAGGCGGCAAATGGTAGGGCTGCCATGAACTTCCTAAGGTTGCAGTTCGGAGCGCTAACCCCTGAACTATTCTTCATCGTGTTTCAAACTTATGTTGGATAACACTCAGAGGTATTCAATACGATAGCCACCCTATCTGCTAAAGAGGGACGTGAGTACTCTCGAGAAGGTATAGAGAAGGGTGACAAAGTCAGCTGTTGGACCTACAAGCAAAGTATCTGTGGAAAACCTTAGACAACTCAACTTGTTCATATCAAGAGTCAAAGGAAAGGAGGCGACCTAATAACAGCCTACAAAATCATCCACCAAGTGGACCACCCAAAAGGTCAACATTATCGATTCAAAACCAACAGTCTATCGGCGGTCCCACACGCATACCCCACCCTGAAGCAAAGATCAGAGTCAGGTCCAACTTTTTCTCCCACAGTATGCCATGGGAAGCCCTGTCTCAAGAAGTAGCAACAATCACATTTCAATTCCCTTCAAACGACTGCTTGATAAGTGCGTGAACACAAACGGCTCACCACGAACGTTCACCGATAGCAACTTAATACTTACTTACAGGTGCTTACAAAATCAGCAATTGTAAAGGTGGTTAATCGGTCTTTTCAGCAGCTCTGTTGCTCCCCTAAACAAACCAAGCTACAATTTGGGAAAAACCATTCAAACGGACAACCAATACCCGTAAGCAGGTAAAATATAAAGACTTCTGAGACCCCGGAAAGAGTATAACCAAACAAAGGAGTCGAGCCTCAAGACTTAGAAAAAAAAACACAAGCATACCTAACTTGATAAGTTGAACATGAGATTAAACAAAAACATTCCCTTAACAAATATTTTTACTTCATATTATCATTCCTCTCCAAAAAGAAAATCATATTGTTATCTATCTACAAATTTACTTGGCACAGCCACATTTGTCAAAAAGGCAATGAACAAGGAGGGAGTAAGTAGTTACAACGATGATCATTAACACAATGAGTAAAATTAGGATTTGAACTAGAAAGTAGAGTCAACGAGGTTATAAAGGTGGTAAACGTTTTGCTTGCTTAACAAGAATTTCATTCCAACTATAGAATAACTTGTTTCAAATGGTTGAAATAATTGCACAGTAGAGTATAAAAAATTCTTAGAAAGTTTATCTTAAGCTAGGACTGACACACACAGAACACAATCAATATGTGCAATGGAACTAAACAAAATACAGACTGGAATGTAAAAAATTGCCCTGGTTGATTATAAAAATATCTGTTATCGACTTTATATATATATATATATATATATATATATATATATATATATATATATATATATATATATATATATCTGACGAATGACTCGGTGGAAGACAATGGAAGAAGAAATATTATCTTCATGTAACTAAAATCTATTACTCATTGGTAGCTCTTCTTCTCCGCCAGTTTTTGTTAATCCTGTTTCTTGATGAAGACATTTTACAGCTCCTGTGGTACCGCCCTTTCGACAGACGACACACATGAAGGAATTATTACCGATTACTGCCCCTTCGCTGCAACAGCCGTTAAGATGCACCCAATGATTACAGTAATCACAATGTGCCCAATCGATAACCTAAATGAACAGAGGAAAAATGGTAGGAAAAGGATGAAATTGACAAACAAACATGTGAAGCAATACATTTTCAACAAATGCAGAGGGTTTTTAAAGGAAGAAGTAAAATATATGTTTATAGTAAAATAAGAAAACAGCAAGTAAACCAGAAACAGGGTTTGTTCACCGTGATATAAACAATTACAAAAAACTGAAGATGAAGTTAATGCATCAGTCGAGTCCCATCCATAAGGATAGTCAGGATGCGTAATAACACAACAAAAATATCTACCAATACGACCCAAAAGAGAAGTAATACTTTGATTAACGGAATGAAGCACATATTTCGTAGAAAAATATTTCCCAGAAAAGAAAATTTGATGCAATGACAAACTACTGGAAATCCTTTCAATACCGAGTTATAATAGACTCGACTTCCAGTGACATCAAATACCTAGCTTAGAAGAATAAATTTATTTATTCTCTTTACATCATCAACATGCATTAACAAAAGTATGGCAAACTACAAGAGAATTTATTTTAAGCAGTAGAATTATTGAAAAAAATATACTGACTTTGATCCTCAGCAAAGTTAATAATTATCATATCCGGAAATCGAAACCTACTCAGCTACCTTGTGCACACTCATACGATAGGCAATCAGCCACACCTGTTGTGTGACGGCTGATGGTACGACGTGTAATTGCCCAAACCAGAGTAGGTGGGGAGGGGTTCGGACCCGTGACCCACTGGTTGAAAGTCACCTTCCTCAACAAATGAGCCACAAATCCACCACTCTCATTTTGCTAATAGGCAATGTATGACAACTTCATGCTGAATATAAAAAGGCTCGACAAAACAGATAAATGATGAATGAGGCAGTTGACAAGGAATAATCATTCTAATGGAAGGTCTGAGGAGATTTGATCGCCATGAAGTCACCTGTCAACACAAACTGACATCATCTATAGGACCACTCAAACTCCGAGGCACTGAATAGCTGATTTACAGCAGCTTTAGACGTGTAATCAGTAGTCACTCACTATTATTACCTATCCCTTCGATTACTAGTGAAACATAAGGCTTCAGTAGCAGTCGCCATTTCACTCTCTTCAACCTGGTTACACGACTCCCCACAAGCTTCCATTTCTTCGTCACACCATCTCCTCCATGTCACCCTCGCCTCGAATGCCCAACTCATCGTTTCCCTTTTCGGTTCCCCCCAACGGCCTGGCCTCGCCTGGCGCGTGATGTCCCCAAATGGTCTATTCAGTGTATCCCCAGTTCAATCCATCTCAACTTTCTTCTGCATATTTGTTGGACGATCGGTTCTTCATTCATTCGTTCGTTGCCAGCCAGACTTCCTTGTTGCTTATTCTTTATGGTCATCCATCTGATCTTCAGTAACGAGTCTAGGCACCTGTTGATGAAATCCTGTCAGAAATGCTTTTCGCAACACACCAAGTCTCTCAGCCATCACACATAGAACAACTGACTTACCTGACATTAGTGTTGAAAATCCCGATCTTCTTCACGCTTCATGCTGAGTGAAGTGCACTACATCTCCTCACTGATTTCAAAGTAATGAACGCCTGTCTTGCTGTCTTTCCAATCCTGGCTGGCTTTGGCGTCCTCATCTGTGCCGCCACCTGTGGTTGAAACGATGCTGCCATGCCTCTAGGTAGGTGAAAGAGACAACTTCCTTCAGGTTTCTCCCATTGATGGTAGTTGGTGCCTGTTTTCGTTTTCGTTGTTGTTGTTGGTGGTGGTTGTGGTGGTGGTAGTGGTCGGGTATCTTCAGCACCCGTGTCTTCTCCACGTTCACCTGAAGGAAGTCCCGTCTTCGCTGTCCTACCTCGCCTCTTCTGTCAAATTGTTGGTTTTCGCCTGTACATCTTCCAGTTTGTGCAACAAGATATTAGAAGACAGAAATCATCATCGGCGGTGGCGAAATCCAAATCTTCTTCTAGGGTCTTCTCATCAGGCAAACAGCACCTGCCACTCTTCTCGCTCCTCACAGTTTGTTGCATCCTCCAGTCCGGTCCACTACAATCAGGAAGATGATCGGTGATAGTATGCGGCAACCTTGTCTTACTCCTTCCTGTCTTCACTTCAAAGGCATCAGTGAGCTGAGCTTTCCAGTCTGAATCACTCGGCATGTAGCATCATATAACATATAGCTGTTGAATGAGGTTGGTAAAGGTTTGTAACACTAAAAGCGTAGTGTTGAAGCAGCTGCCTGCCAAATTACTTCTCGGTCGACGCTGTCGAACGCCTTTTCAAAGTCGATGAAGTTCAGGTAGACATCCAGTTGACTAGCATTCTATACTCTGTTCTATGATGATGCGTTGCGTAGTGTAGCGTTGCAATTTGATCCACACATGATTTGTTATTCCTGAAACCAGCCAGCCTGTTCCGGTTGTAATTTTCAATGGAGAGCATATTTCAGTCTCTCCAGGATGATGCGGCATAATATTTTGTTTGTTGTGGGTGGGCAGGAAGGAGTGTAGCATGATTCCTCGTCAGTTATTGCAAACACTTAGGTCTCCGTTCTCTGAGAGTTTGACAAGGTATCGCTTCTTTTAATCGATAGGCAGGTACCTTCCCTTCCTTCCTTACAAACCTTTTGTAGTAGTGTTGTGAGTATGTCCGCTGTTGTCTCCACATCTGTTTTCGGTGCTTCTGAAGGAATCCCATCTGGTCGTGCTGCTTTCCTAGATTTCAGCAACTTTATGGCGTGGCGTTCACGACTTCACTTCTGCTTTTGTCGGAGGGCATGTTCAGTGGTAGCTCTGTGGTTGGGTTGCTGGTGGTATTTTTGGACGAGTTGCAGTTGGTGGTGGCGGTCGATTCAAGAGTTTTTTGAAGTGGTCAGCCCATCGTTTCTTTTGTTTCTACTCTTTGGCGGTAACTAGATTTACTTCACTATTTTTCATTGGTTTCATCTGTGTTAATTTCTTTCCTGACAGATAATAACCGGTTAATTAATGTAATGTTGTTAGGTCTCTCCTACCAGCAGCCTGTTCTGCCTCAGTTGCCAGTGTGTCGTAGAAGTGTCTTTTGTCTTTGCACGCACTCTTCTTCACTTCTTTGTCCAGTGTTTTATAGGTTGTGTTTAGTTCCACTTTTTGTTGTTCATCCCTGCACTGTACTGGTTCATCTTCTGCTTCACCGTCTTCCTCTCCTCTATCAGCTTCCATGTGCCCATGGAGATTCATTCTTTGTCTTGTTTCTTCTTCCTTGCTAACACGGTTACGCAGGTTTCTTTCGACGTCTCTTTAAAGAGTTCCAGTGTTCTTCCACTCACTCACTAACCTACTATAATTGACCTCAGAACCTAGAAGTAAATTACTACTTAACCTGTGAGTTAAGGAATTCAGTGCTCGACATTCAGCAAATATGGTTAATTTGTGTTGACCAAAGTCATTATTTAACACCACTGGATTCCCACCAGAAGTTCGACAAATTCATCTTGAAGCTAGCAAACAAGGGGCAATAAATTGAGTACTTTTCTCTAAAAAAGAACTGGTTTGATGAAGAACGCCTTCAAAGAGAAATAACACCAGCTGGAGAACCACTGGAGATCGAAGATCGTTTAACTGTTTTCCTTTAAAATTGATTGTTAACATGGTATTTCAAAGTTGCTGTCAAATGATAATGTGCATTGTTTCGTCACATAAGATAACTCATCAAAGTTTTACATTACCAGACCTAGTGTACTGATGATAAGGCACTGTTTGATTCCTGATGCGATTCATAATCTAACCTAAAGGTCACTACGGGATGAATGCTTTCACTTATCGTACATTAAACTTTTGCCTATAAGCATGTTACCTGTAGATCATCTGCATTTGCCTGGTCAGAGACCGGTTGGCTAGATAATTCAGGGGGTTCCAACTGACCGCAAACAACGCATAAGTCTAGTGCTTCGCCATCTTCTATCCCATCCATGCTTTCAAGAAGTCCTCCGTTGACAGGAACATGTCCACCTCCTGTTTCAGGCACTCGGAAATACTGACCTGAATTCGGTTTTTGGTTCAGTACTAATTGAGAATTAGACAGTTCACAACCAACTTCTTCTTCATGAGAAATATCCGCAGCTAAAGCATCAAACGACGAAGCATCTTTGTTTTGACGACATGACGGTTCTTCCTATAATGCAAAAGGTTTATAAATTTCACTTATAAGGACATAATCGCAGCAATTAATAGCAGAAATAAATAGACACCACTCTAAACTGAAATACATCCCTTGTCTGTAATATAACCATTAGATATATAGGACTAAAAACAGTAAACCTCAACAACGATCTGTTAGAAAACCTTAGGAAAATTACTGTTGTCCAAAGGTTCTAAGGCAACTTATCGTCAATACATGCCATCAATAGATAAGTCCACATATCTGTGATTCCGTTCCACAATAAAATCATCTTTGTTGTACAAATAACAAATAACTATCTCCTACGAGGACAGTTGTAACATGCAGGAAGTATGATATATCTTAAGAGTAGCTAGAAACATATCTGTTTTAAAGCGAGTGAATACAACAATACAGTACTAATATTGGAAAGGAAAATCAATTCGTATCAATACCGCTTCACTTGCGTGCACTGAAACAGGTTGAATGGCACCTGCTGCAGGACCATGCAAACGTATAGTAACTGATCGTCCAGAAGGAGAGAATTGCGTTACAACAGCATGTTGAGTTTTAAAATTGCTTTCATGAGATGTAAGAACAGCTGGTACATTCTGCTTACCGTTAGCCAGAGTGGATTTAGAGGTTAAGACACCTGGAAAAGAAGGGAAACTTGATATTTACTTTGATCGAAAAGCTGAATCAATATATCAAACGTAACCGACAGTCATTTTTATTAATTCTACATAGAGACATTCTTTTACTTATACGAAAAGAAATAAAAGTATACAGAAGATGCAAAACAACTGCGAAAGAAAACTGCGTTGTCAAGAGACAAGCGAAGGAACAAATGAGTTCTGTGTAAATCAAGGGGGCTAAATTTAAGCATACCTCTAATAAAAATACTCATGGTTTTTCAAATCACAATTTCCTCAAAACGACTGTCACAGCCTTCAGAAAACAAGAAACGCGGAGTAATGTGCACAGAGTGATACGGAACTATCTAGCATTCTTACAGAGCACTCCAAAAAACACCAACATGGGTAAAAATATCAATTAGTTACAATTCAAATTAAAGTGCAGTTTTTGACACAGCAACAACTTTAACTCATTATTCAATGCAACAATCAGAAAGAAGCAAATTGAACTGTATATAATCATGATTATTTTTTCTATGAAACTGAAATTTCTGAATAGATTTAGCGTGTCTTTCTTTCTCCAAATGAATCTGATTTACTTCGAAGATACGGGATGAAAATAGAAAACAATGCATAGATGACTTTTGTGTGACTACCAAACATAATGACTTGAAAAAGTCAATAACGTCCAGATTATTATGACCAATGGTACCAAAGGGTTGGACAACATCTTTTTTTAAACAAGGTATTCAAATATGATATAATCCGAATAAATGCAATAGAGTGGTAAGCAAACGAAATGACTGCCATGCATCTTCGTTCTTTATTATAAATCCAATGATATCACGAGCGAGTGAATGACTGTAAGTCATTCAAAATCCAAGCAAGATAATCCGAAACAACAATCAAAATTTAGACAGTGTGTGAAAATAACACAGATTAATACCTAATATACAAAGTGATGCGTTAGAACTTCATTTTTGCAGGAAACCCTAAATAGAACGATTGCATAACGTTGAATTTAAACGCTTTGTTGATCTGATGATTATGATTAGTGTAGTTCAAAAGAAGTACACACATACTGTTTAGATTAAGACGAAACGACAGTTGATCATCATAAGCCTACTATTAAGAAGAATTCTAGCTAACATGTTAGTGGTACAGAAGCCAACACTACTCGGACAAGCCATATAAGATTTCAAATTCACAATGACAGATTTTTAAGCTACAGGTAACGGAAGTGGTCTGTACTAATACAGAATATTTTGCCAAAGAGTACACCTTAACATGGAAGATGAGTTGAAGAGTGCTACCAATAACATTTGGTAAATATTTACATGTATCTTATGCGTACTGAATGTGAAATAACTGAAATCACTATAATCAACTCAAAACATGACGGAGCTATGCAGAAGTACAAGCTAATATGTTTCTTTATGAAATAAGAGAAAAACAGTGATATTGAACTACGGAAGTGCATAATTCAATAAGTATCATAAATAGTGGGTGTTTAAAAGGCGTATACGATGAAAGCAATTTCGAAGAACATAGAAATCAAAAAATATGTATACGTATTTTTTTTATAAATTGAAGATATCTTATTGGTTGTTTACGGCTATGGCTATAGTCTTCATGCTAGTAGAAAGGACACAATCTAGTTAAATAAGCCTGAAGCAAAATGTAGGATTAACTTGAATTACTGTAGTCGAAAGTAAAGTATTTACACTAGTAATCCGTACATGGAACACACAATTTACGACGCCAAATAATCAGTCATTTTCGGTTAGTGATATTCAGCTGAATGAAAAGATCGACAACGCATCAGTTTAAAGAAAATGGACAATAAATAGATTATAATTGAAGAATGGCTTATTCTAAAGCACTTGAAGCGTAGAGTAGGTTAATGTGCACGTGTTTAGATTGTCTTTGTGGGTGGTTTAGAATGAGGAGTAAGACAACTGGCAAGTGGTTTATTAGAAGTGAAAACAACAAAGTTATGGTTTTGTCAGCAGCAGATTGGATTCATAAAGAGAAGAGTAAGTCATAAGGTTTGAACTCCTGAAACTGTGAAAGACCTACCAGTCTAGAAAAGTTGCCAATATGAGACACCATCGTCATAAGATGGTCACATTCCTTGACTGTTTCCAAAGAATTAATGATCTATGTTACACTTGTGTATTTTTTCCCATATTATTTATTCCACCTCAGAAAATTAATATTTACTGTTAACCTTCCAGATAACTAATTTGTTTTTAACCATGGTAACCAAAATAAAATAACAATTTGTAATCAGAAAACAAGAATTTTAAGAAATTGAACAAAATGCTTACTTTGAGAGTTGTTTGTTACATAAGTGGCTAGCTTCGTAACAGCACCACTAAGATAATGTAAATCACTAGAAGAACTGATAATGTGATTTTTCGCATCTCCACCATTAGGAATATTTGTATTCACATAGTTGAGGTAGTTCGATGAACATGCCGGTTTAGACAACTGACAGTATGGATTCACTGTTTCGCTGGGAAGATACGGATCAACATTCTCTCCGGTGATATTAGTTTGTTCATAATCTTCTGTCTGCTTATAAGAGAACACAGTAGGATAAAAACTATTTGTAGCAAACGAATAACGAAAGTTTTATAGTTGATCCCTCTTTAATATTTAGTTTGTTGGACATATCACGACAGTCGAACAATAGAAAAGATGATGATCAATTTTAAGTTCAATAACTAACTACTGAAACAAAGTTTCTGCTATTAGTTTTGAATAACAAATTATGACAGCCATTGGAAAGACTGATTCCATGATCACTTTGTATTTTTGATCAAATATTGTAGTGATAAAAGAAATATGAAAATGTATTCGATAGTAAGAGACTAGATGACAATGTACGATTTCGTATTCAAAAGGTGATGGTTAGGAAAAGCCATTCTAGAACTATGACACTGAATGAGTAGTGATAAATATTACTCAACTTTCTTTAGAAAATATAGCGCTTAAAGCAAAATGAAACCTTGTGAAAATAGAGTATGTATTGTAAAAACGCTCGTAAATCATAATATCTCAAGTAAAACTAGTTAGTGAGTTCAGGTAACCTAATGATATTTTCCGTTGATTGTCTAAAAATATCTAATTCATGACACAATATGATGAATTCAAGTTTAGTAAAAGTTCGCAGGCTAGGCTATGATTAAGAGCCTAGGATATTACTAAGGTCATTTACACGGAAGTGGTAAGGGATTCGAACATGTTATCCAGTGATACGCAGTCAGATGTTTCGATTAATAAGTCAAAAGAGAGGGTAAGGACTTTAAGCACAATACAGTTTTATAAGTCTAGATATTACCAGCGGTGTCTGACAGTGAAATCAAGGAGAAGCACCGCATTCTGCTGTCCAGCCTCCCTTACACGTATCACAATAAAAACATACTTTAAATGAAGGTTGAACTCAAAGTTACTCGTTTCAAAAGTTAGCCATTTTCTTACTAAGATATACAGTCACACCTAAAACTTGAACAGTGGGCGGTATCCGTTTGTTTTTCGTTCAACATGATATGCTTATATATGCTCATAAAAGCTTGAACAATAATCTTCAGATTACGCCCTTGGCAATCGTTTGATTCCTTCAGAATGGAAAAAGCTGTTAGAAAACAAAAGTGTTGTAAGGCTAAAAGAAATTTAAGAGTTTCTATTCAAATCCTCCGCGATCTTTAATATTTATCCTGGTTTATCAACCAGTCTGATATTTTCACGTATGATCTCGTGCTTTCATTCGAAACTTCGGAGTGCGCAGTTTCCTTGGGCGGAATATGAAGAGTTTTGCAAAATAAAGATTTCACAGGATTCACTGTCAAAAGCTCAAGCAGGTTTGTATATGCATTTAGATGCACTCTACTGAAGAGAAAACATCAGATACTTTCACTAAAAACACTGACCAAACATCAAATCAGCTGCATATCCTACCATTATCGATGTTAACAGATACAAATGAGCTGAGTCAGGCTGTTTCAGAACATATATCTAGGAGGAAAACACTCGAGAATAGGTCTACACGTACCAGCGTGAAGCTATAAACGAATCGAAACGCACCATCGTATCACCAGTCTATTTTTCAGAGTTTTATAGTGTGCAGTGTGAATCTGCAAATGATTTTAAAAAACTAAAATGCCCTATATTTCTTCCCAAAAAATCAACACACTGAAGTTTCAAGAGAAAAAGCATGTGATCATGTGACAATATCAGATTGGTTGATGAACCGAAACAAATAAAAATACTCTTCTGTATAGGATCAGTTAGATTTTTGTGCAGTTAACCCTGCCTATAACGTAAGCTACCACCCGCTAGATTCACTGAATATAAATTAACTACAATGTCACCAAAATCCAACGATTAAAATTTGTTCCACATTAAGGGGTAGCCGCTTAATGAGGTATTCGACAGTAGCACGTTAATAATATCCTTTCAGTTAACAGACTTAGAAAAGAGAATATTTCAACTATTGCTGTACTACACGGATATGAAGCTAAATGAAGATATGAACGAATAACCACTCATTTAAAGAAAACAGAAAATGTATTAGACATGCGTTCAAGGTATCAATACTCGCTCTTAGTATTTAATGGAGATGAGAAAAAGTAGAGGATCAACAATGCTACAGGATGTGATATGCATTTCTCGATTATCTACTTCCCTGATACATTATGAAATTTAAGCAAAATGGAAATAAGTGGCAGCAGAACTAAACAAAGGTCTGATTTGAAATAAACCAAAAAATTTCTTTAGCACTAATTTCAAGTATGTTAGGATTCCTTTGTCTATCTTTCAGTGATGTAGAATAAACAAATGAAGTAGTAAAACATACCATGTTCAAATATGCACCAATAGATGCGGATAAATTATTAAACGGACAAATTCCCAGTCTTTCAAACAGGCTGATCATATTACTTGGTTGTAGTGCCTTTTCGTAAGCATGTGTCAGTATTGGAGAGGCATTATTGCGTATAAGTGGTTGGTTAGGATTTTGTTCGAAAAAACGATCCAAACGTTTCTTGAAATAACCCTAAGACAGTTGAAAACAGCATATGAATGCAAAAGTAACCACAGGACATTTAAAAAAGATGCGGTTAACAAAACAACAGTAGAAGAAACTAAAATCTAATTCAGCTGAATTCGATGAGTTAACAAAACTCAATTTGATCACTGAATACATCAACAAAGATGTATGATTTAGTGGATACTTAAATTAATAAGAATGAACATATTGATCTGTTGTCTAAACAGGATTTGGTGTTCGGTAGATGTAAACGTATTTTAAAAACTTTCAAGTCATTCAGAAAACTAGACAACCATTCACTATGCACATTTATCAGGGATTTTTATATTTTCTAATTCAACCAAAAATCCTTTAAGCAAGCCAACTTCTCCGGTAATCGGAAACGGAAGAAAGAATACACAAGCGTAAAAACTAAGATAAAGATATAAAAAAAAAGTCCTAACGTATAATTTTCATTATTGCTAATTCAAACAGCAACTTATCATAAGGCTTTATACGACTGTGTAAAGTTTCAGCAAAAAAATGTTAACACTATAAGGTTATTCAGCACTCGATTCAAAACAGACAGCAGTAAAGTATTCTTTATATTGAAGTGGTGTTGCGGTAAAAATACCAGTACTTAATTCCAGAGAACAGTTATGACCTGACCGATATAACTTTGACTAAATGAGCAACACATCTGATTTTCTAAGATTCAGCTTAAGTTAAGCGTTCAATCAATATGAATCCTATAGTTTTAGAGAATGTATTACTTCGAGTACATCATCGGTGATCATCTAAAGTGGTTTCCATACTTTCTTACAGAAAGAAACAATCAGTAACCAAATAAAGTTCGAAAGAGCTGCGTCTGACTTTCACACCACAATTAAGATCCAAGTAATTATAATTAATACCTCTAGATTATCATCCTTAGAAACTAAATACTAAAACCGGTCAAAACAAGCTGCACTACCTGACTTTAAACATTTTACTACTGACAGAGTTGCAGCCATATCACATTCAGACTGTAGCTTGATGATCTGTAATTTAAAGTTCATGAAAGCCATCTGAGCTATTTTTTTAGTGCTCATCCCTATCTTTTTGTCACCTACTCTTGAATTTTTCTGCTTAACTGTCTTTCTTTCCTGCGCAAATATGGGTAGTTAATTTTCTCAACCCGTTGCAACTTTTACCTAATGCAGATCCCTTTCCTACCCACAGAAAATGCATAGGCTTTTGGTCAATCTATGCATTACCTGTTTGCTGTCCTTACTGGACCCAGAGTTAAAATGAGTGTTAGTGAAATGATAAAATGCTGACGTACTTTTCTTCGACCGATCTACAGCTTTAGGATAAAGATCGCCAAACTTAATAGTGTATCCGTCATTGGATGCAGCAACTTAAATATTCACCTAACAGCAAAGCGCCGCCAGATTGTATAATTTTCGCACTCTCTAAGACAACTAACTAAGGAAAAATGATCCTATAGATGTATAACTTGCGTATCCTGTAGATTAGAATTATGAAAAACACATCTGTATGAGATTAAAATTAGAAGTGATAGAAGTTCTTTGATACATGATGATAAAGTTAAAAACCACATGATTGTACGACATTATATCGAGAATTAGGGGTGAACTGTGTTATGGTAAAATGGACAGGAGGAAACGATGGATATTATTATTATTAGTAATACTATTTTTTTAAACTAATTAAAATAAGCTGTTATTATTGAATCTACGTATATGAACAAGTAAGTGGTAGCTTGGACTGTTAATGTAGATGCAGTAAAAGGTGGTAAGTGATGATAAAATCTATAACTTGTCAAATATACACACATGTAATCCATTAGAAAATATACCTCTGTGCATATGGTTAGAGTTACTCCCTGACTAACTAAACCTGAGCATTTTGATATTGTTTCCTCTAAACTGGATGGTTTAATCGCAAAGCGTTCCATATTTTTCACGATTAAATCATCCTCGTGGGTTATAGATACTTTCCATTATCTCATAAACCTGAGTATATTTAATGAACTTTAAAAACGTCACACGATGGTTGGAAGTTTAGTGTCCGAACCATTCAATTACTTTTAGATACAAGAACAAAAGAGAGCCACTATAAATAGTCCCATGACTTGTCACTTGGAACCTGATAGTTTAGAATGACAGAAAACATTGTCCTACCATAAACTTGCTAAAACGTTACTGAAGATATCAAATAATCGAAACCACAGTACCATTGCTCGTATGTCATCAAAAATATGAACAGTATAATATGAGGTATTTGATTTTGCGTGAAAGTTCATTAGATGAAAATACTCCGTAAACGAATCGACTGGCAAGACTGAGATGTGAACTACGTACGTTTAGTCACCAATTTTTAGCTCAGGTTGGACACTAACACTTCAAATGTGGTTTTTGAAAGAATAAGTAATTCATTTTTAGGCAGCTGACAGTTACTTTAACCAGAGTAGAGAACCATGGGTTTGTTAGCTGGTAGCCTTGTGACAGTAAAAATAACTAGTTACAGGTATTGGGTGATATGGTTTTGGTCGATTTCAATGGTATGAATGGATTTGTTTTTACGGTCCTTCAAATCTTCGACATACTACTACAATGAAGCACCCGAATATAATTTTCCTCGTTTCCTCGTAACTCATTTTTGGGTTGCAGTAAACAGTTCATCCCTGTGGATGATTTCCTTTAATATATGCCTTACATACTTTGATCAATCAGAAAAGTGACACATTATGCAAATCTTTATGTGCAATTATCAATCCCTTGATCCATTGTTAGCCAAATATGACTTGTAGCTCAACGGGAAGAGCACTGATAGTTTGAACCCTGCCACGATACACGCTTTCACTTGATCTTTAACCAATACACCGTATCGATAGAACCTCAAACCATAGCTAGCCTAGATCGACAATAACTTAAGGCTGAAAACTTTCAGTTAATACAACTTTCTATCATTTACTCCAGCACGTAACCAATTCCTTTTTGAGAAAATGAATATGCAGACCATATCGTCATACTATGTAAACATTGATAGATGTTTGGTTGGTGAGATTTCAAATTGCATATCGAAAGCCAGAGCGGCGTCACCTTTGACACCATCACAATGCCAACATTCCTATGAAAAGACAGACATACAGTGCAACAGTGTAAGCAGTTATCATCTACACCTCTGAAACGTGACCTCTCTGAGCCGGAGACGTCCGACAGCTCGGCGATTTTGATCATCATCATTTCCACACAATTACTCACATCCCGTGGAAACACCATGAAAGTATTTTCAACATGAGATGGAGTGTGTTTGGACGTGGTGATGATAGTGATGCATTTAATTTGCTGTTTTCAAACAGTGACTTCGGTGGCTCGGACCCCTGTTATGCATGTTTCTTCGTCTTTCATTTTGATCCATTCTTGCCTAGTGTACTGATATGAGGTGTGGCAAATCGGACCGTTATGCAATAATGTCAAGTATTGTGCTGACATTGACTGATTGAAAGAAAGAAATTAAACGTAGACATTTATGCACATTATGTGTAACTAAATACATGAAAAAACAGATCAAAATTACAGATTATAAATTTACCTGAAATGCCCAGAAACATGTGTTTTCGACACAGTGATTATAAGCAGGATGAGGAGGGAGTGGAAACAGAAAAACACCATCTTCACGAGCACGTTCTAATACACGAACACTGACAAATTGTAAGTGGCCATCATAGAAGAGAATAAGAGGTCGGACAGAAACAAGTGCACGGAAGTGTTTAAGGAACCACTGTATAAAAGCATCAGAATTAACCCAACCAGAAGATGAATATGAAAATTTTGTACCCCGCACAGAACCTTCCATCATCGACGCTGAAAAAAGAAGATCAACATTTTAAAAAAGACAATTACAACAAGAAATACTTAAGAAAAAAGTGATCTAGAACTCTAAACGATTCTCGGTATTAAGTGGGTTTAGTTGCTTAGTGAAAAATAGTTGATGATAAATTTATTAAAACTACTAATAAACAACAGGGGTAAGCGTATAAAGCAGATACCAAGACGCATTCAACTAGTCAATATCAACATCGGACCTGACATCACTGTATAACGGTCCACTTTGCCATAGCTCATATCAGCACACTAAGCGAGAATACATCACAGATGAAAAGGAAAAATGTTCGAAAATGGCAGAAAGCGTTGGAAATAAAACATGAAGGAATGAGACAATAATTAGATTCTGTATGAAGACATGTGGATGCATCTGCGCCATTTTGATCAATTCTGAACCACATCGCTTAGAATCTCCAAACACAGATTTATCGTGTCACATGCACTCAACAGCAAAGTCGACATTTTGTTACAGCGCCACCTCTGACCCTTTTCCAGCATAAACCTACTTCAGCTAATATTGTGCAATGAAGTAGACGGTGACGAGGCATTCTTAACACATGTTCTAGTCGCTTCAGTTGATAAAGGTTCACAATCCCATCAACTTTTCTTTCCAAAACTCTACACCTGACTTCTACTTTGCTGACTTGGTGGCACCATGACACGGCGTATGCTTCAAAGGCAATGGCAACCAAATACCTGGAGCCCTTCCACATCTTGTACCTTAAATGACCATATTTCAAAGTAATATAGTATAGTTAGAACTGCAGCGTAAACAATACTTACAGGAATAGAATTCGTAGAGGGGCAGTTTACTATATCCTACGCATCAGTCTTTCAAGAGTCTTAATTAGTCTGTGAACTTATGTATGTAGTTCTGTAAAACAATGGCACGAATTTCAATATGGACTAAGCAACAATCAGGGACTGTAGACAATGTTTAGTAGACTTCCAAAGAGAGAAAACTAAAATGTAAACAGCTATTACATAGGTAAGTTTTAATATGATCTCAGTGTGTTTAAAAAGTTGAAAACAAGATTTTTCTGAACATTTCGCTGTGTATGCCGTAGCTTCTTCAGCAGAATATTCGGATTTTTATTCAACATCAAAATATATACACTGTCAGATGGTACCAGTATGAATTTCTGCCTCCATATCATTGGTTAACTGTTTTGTTGTTCAGACTGATCGTAGATTTAGGATGACTAACTATGACTTGGGTGTTCATAATGTAAACAGCTATGTTAAAAATTTCGGATAAGAACATCCAGTCGAATAGAAAACCCGCGGCTTGTTACGCCCAGAATGCAGGAAAGTTGTAAACTGGTTTAAATTCTCATTATTAGTGCTACGTTTCCTCTTCTGTTTCTCTCTTGATTTGCTCTTAATACATTCTCATCAGCTGCATCCACTGTAATACGTCTGCGTTATCCCTTGCGTTGCTTTTGGCAGAAACCTTAACCATTGCCGGTAATTCCCTATGATTCTTGCCACCCCCTCAACATATACTACTTATATCCATTGTTATCAGCGACGACCACTACACACTTACAGAAAAATACGGAAATTATCTCAAATGGTAATTAAAATATTTTTAATCCATCAGTTATCAGTAATGGTTGAATGAAAAAAATTCCATATGTCAATTGATAGTTTGTAGAGAATGACTGATTGTTTTCAAACTAGCTTTCATCATGAGCTGATATCAGATGGAAAACCAAAGAAGTGGAGAGCTGTTTTGTCCTAGTTCAGGGCTCCTCAGCAATGCGCATTGACCTGTGGTATGTGGGGTCAATCAATCCGAAAGTGAAAATGAATGCCTACCAATGGCATTGTTTAACGGTTGCGAAATATCGTCAATTGACATAGGTAAAAAGAAGTGGACAGTTGAACTCCAATCCCTTGGCATAATGGCAAAGTACTACCAATGAGGCTTGACGATCCTGGACTCAACTTTTCGAGGAGTTGTGGGTGCGTGCAGCTGAGTATTTACATACTAGGACAAAATAGTTTTCACTGCTTCCAAGTTATGGCTTTTGAGTTGGTGTCAACATGTGTTAAAAACTAATTAGAAATCCTATGAATAGCATAACAACATGATATTTGGTCCCTGATATCTGATAACAGTGCCTTTGTTTCAGGAACAGAGAGACAGACGAAACAAACGTAGAACCTCGTACAAAAGTAAACCGATTTAATTGACCACGCTTAACGGCAGCATGTAAAGAATAAGTTGATAGGAAAAGACTCAAAGAAGACAAAGGTGAATGGGAGGAGAAACAATTTGAAGATGAAGGATAGTTACAATGTTCAAGCTTTAAAAGACATCAAGGAGTGAATACATCTGTCATTGTGATCGGTTTTCAGGTATGTCACTAAGAGTCCCCAACTATAAGTGCCTATTACCTAGAGGACCTCAGCTAGGCAGTCTACAAGTTCTTACTCGGCTCAAACCAACAGTCAGAGACTTCATGAACTGGAGACACATCTTTGTCTGATCACCCTGCACCCACTTGCAACCGAATCATACTTCTGCTAGCATAGCAGATCGAGGTAAGCGGTGGCTTGGTATGTGCAATATGTGTCTAGTCCACTTCAGTCAGTGAAGAATAACCTTACCAATCAACTAGCGTAGCTTGCCTAGTATCCTTCGCCTATCCTCGACATTACTCACACAATGATTACATTATATGTGAGCAATATTGAGGAGATACCTGTGTAGGTACTGTCAGCGAAACCAAATTGAACAATTTATGTTGACAGCACTTTTTTGACTTTACGTGTAAGAAACAAATACATCACTAAAAGTAACAAAACGATGGATTTGATTCAAGTGATATAGATGTTAAAAACTGTGTAATTTATTTTTTAGTTTAAAATACAAATAGAACATGTGCAATCTATATTGTGTTCAGTCACACTCAAATATCATATCTAGGATTTTGACTAGAAACTTAGTGGGTCGAGGGTTCAAACCGCTCCCTGCCTACTGAGGTCTGGGCACCTACATAGTATCATTAGCCCCCACACAACGTCTGGCTTACTGACTATTGCAAAAACATGCAGATGGTTCCTGAGTTGCAGTTTGTTATTATTTTCTTCATGAAAAGTATTACATCCATCAACAAATCTATAAGAAGTAATCAAAAAGTGTACAACAGAATTGGTAGATAGTTCAAATGTGCATACTGTATTACCTAAAAATTGTCATGCATCCGTCAAATAATGTAATACTATGAAGTTCTTTATAATTTATAGACAAACTGACCAAAAAGATCATTGCATTAACTCAACCCACATGTTATCCCATCACCTCGATAAATCAAGAATGGAGGAATTTTTTCACCAATGCCGTTAGCAGCTCCAAGCATCGCTACAGTTGGATTCCAATAGCTTACAGACTGAGCTCTTTGGATACTGATGGGAAGAATACGTGGAGGCTGATTTTCACAGCTTATGCTTACTTCATCAACAATCCAAAAATGTTCTGCTTTGTCTTTGATGCTATACTTATTCAAAACCTAGAAAAGCATGAAAAAGAAGAGTGAGGCAAAGAACTAAGTGCTAATACATCTATATTTTTTTAATGGGTATATCAACATTTAACACACCTTAAGTAAACGAAAATAATCACCTGAATGGATTTAGACAATTTAATGAAGTACTAATCATGTTAACAGGGACATGATAGTAAAAATTTAGTATTTTACTAGAGACAGTTTGTTTGTAAATACTTCATAAAAATAAGTGTAGAGTTATAAAGATGATAAATGTGAAAGTGTGACAACAGATATTTGCTAATTTTATCACATAGATTGCAGTAGAATTACTGCCATACATGCAGAGGTATACAGATCAATGTTAAGCCTTAATAATAAATAAATAATAATTAATAAATAAGCTTCATCTTAGAAAACGCAGTGGTGGAGTAAAAATGAACTTTGAAATAGTACGACCTGTGGGGAGCAGGACGGTTTTCCTTCAGGTCAGCGATGCATTGATCATATGCTTACTCTCCACCAGATGCTCGAATTCCGTCATTTGTACTACAGGACGATGACTATCGTATTTCTCGATATCAGGACTGCTTTGGATTGGACTATCTACCAGGGCAGTTGTGAGGGTGATAGTAGATGTCTGATTGATGAAATTTCAAACTGCATATCGAAAGCCAGAGCGGCGTCACCTTTGACACCATCACAATGCCAACATTCCTATGAAAAGACAGACATACAGTGCAACAGTGTAAGCAGTTATCATCTACACCTCTGAAACGTGACCTCTCTGAGCCGGAGACGTCCGACAGCTCGGCGATTTTGATCATCATCATTTCCACACAATTACTCACATCCCGTGGAAACACCATGAAAGTATTTTCAACATGAGATGGAGTGTGTTTGGACGTGGTGATGATAGTGATGCATTTAATTTGCTGTTTTCAAACAGTGACTTCGGTGGCTCGGACCCCTGTTATGCATATTGTTCCAGGCACCGACCATTGTTCGCTGACCTTTGAACTGGTTGGAAGAAGCGAAATGGTCAGTGTTTGAAGTGACACTGGATGGTCAAGAATAAGTGTGTTCAGGCGGTACTTGTAAGTGTCTCATGACTCCCAAAATGAGGTCTGAAATGTAACGCAACTCAGTGGCTTGAGTCGATAACAGATCCAGCTCAATGCGGAAACCAGTGGTGAATATGTTGCAGCTTTTCTGTCCCTTCTATAACTGAAAGGTAAAAATTATGTGGTGAATACGTCTTCTGGTTCATCTCTGAGAGACTACTTCTTCAATGTTTCACTTATGTCTTTGTTGCCATCCGCTTTTCCGTTTTCCGTATCTTCGTAATGTTGCTTTATTATTTTGCATGGCAAATCCTTTATTGTACATATTGTACTCAGTTTTTATAATAATAACAATGATAATAATAATGTAAATTCAAATAAGGTATTTAAACTCTCCTTCTACTTTGAAAACAATGAACTGCATGGTGTATGACCAATAAGAAGTGCAAGATTAAGGCATGAGTTTGAATGTCATCCAGTTACATACGTAAACGTACTACAAGCCTTCGTCGCTCCTTATCTTTCCGGGAAGAAGAATCTAGATTTCTCACGTGCATACAGCTTAAAATGACTAAAAGAGGATTGCTAGGTTAGTATAAAACAGTTTAGACAGTAACCACCGATTGAAATAAATTAACTAAAAGGTTGAAACATGCCTACTACTGAATTTCTATTCAGTGATGCGATGCATGAAAATTCCGAGTTCCATCACTGAAGTGGTTGAACCAAGAACAATATTGAGTTATAAACTACCTCCTAAAAACTTTCATGTGATTCCAAGATTCAATTCGTAGTTTCGAAAATGCCAGGTTGTGAAGAAAACTATCTCCAAAGCACTCAAAATATGCTACAAAATCGACTAATTTGCGTAAATCAGAATGGTATGCATGAAGAGAAACATGAAGCTAATAAAACTATGTATGGACACTTTCCAGAGTTGTATATGCAAGCACTTAACTCAACTTTCGCTTGTTGAATTCTTGTTGTTAACTTCTTAGACCTAGCCGAAGCTAGACTAAACTTGAAGATATGAAAAACAAGCAAATCGTAAGACAAATTTTAGCGTAACAGAACCATTGGAATGTGACATTCTATTTGCTGATTTAAAATCTTTAGTTATATTCTTGCAAGAATGTTTCTAAAAAACTGCATAGACCAATTTGAGGAGGTTCTAGCAAAAAAATATTTCTCTTCTATTATAAGCTGATGTTTATCCTTTCGCCTACATTGGTCCTGTTTTCCCCACTAACTGGAGAAATGTCCTTCCCGAATTAAGACAGTATAAGTTTGTGCACAATACATCTTCACGGTATCTTGACTTGGCTTAGGCATTCAACCGTCAACGGGTTAAACATGATTTAGGAACTAGACCCACTGAAGTTATGAAATTTTCTTAGTATTATTGACTATACTACTCATGAGTAACTGACTTTTTTCAACACAACTTCCTACCTAATTACCTCAGCTATTTGTTGTCCTATTAGTTAGCGCTATGACATGGACTTCGGCTATATTGAATGATTTGTTTTCATTTTTGCACACTGTAGCCTGTACGCCGTTTACTGTCGTATCACTTGGAATTTAAGTATACGAATCTGCACCAATTATTTCTGAACATAAAACCATAAATTACTGTTATGAGACGAGACACTCCACTGACTTTTGGATGCATCTATCCACGGCTGACTGACAAACTATGTATACTAGGTTTTATAAGTTTACCTATTATGCTCTGCATGAGTTTGCATAAGCATTGCAAAGGACACGAAATACAAATCCACCATAAAAAGCAAACTAATGATGCGATCAAGTACAAAACTGAAAATACCTTTTCTAGTTGTTCAAAATAAGATTGTATTGAGTCTCCGGAAACTCCTTTAGATTTCCGATTGCTCCGAGGTCCAAATAAGAAATTCTTCAAATCAGGCCAACGGTTAAGAAAAGCATAAAACCAGGCCTGACTGGGATTGAGATATTTAAATGGGGCGATTCGCCCAACAGCCTTTGTCATATCTCCAGCAAGTTCGACTACCTTGATGAGGAAATAATGCAAGAGATAGTATAGAAATAAACCGGTTATTGATCAGAATAGAGTGAACAGAAATGTCAACAATACAAACAGAAGAACTCACTGCTAAGTATAAGCTGTCACGGAAACGTAGATGATAGGTGTAGTACACAAGTGAACAGGCAGATAAATCAACGCAGAACATTGCAGAAAAATGCATTAGTTCAGGGTGTTGAAATTTCCAATAACACACAAGAAGGAAAATAACTGAAAAGTGATTACACTGAAGTAGAAAAGATTGTACTCTACGAGAGAGGATAAATAAATGAAGATAAGTAAAATGTTCCACATTTCAAAGATGGTAAAGAGTGAACAGGCACCTATACAAATGATAAAGACGAAGTGGCAATAGTTACCTATGATAATATTACCGTTGTACCCAAGTATATCTACTGAAAAGTCCAACACACAAATACCTATTTATCTGAACCAAAATAACCTGAAGTCACTTTTTGTAAACTAATTTCTGATAATATACATACGAACAAAACTGTTTATGTTGAAAGAGAAACAGTGCTGAAACTATAAGCTTGACCGCGATGATCATCGAAGCCCTCATCTAAAGTTAACTAACTAACAATGAAAGCATACATTGTGCTTTTGCCTTCAAAAGAAAAAGTTGTTAAGGTTTACTAGCTCACAGTAATGAAAGCTACTATTTAACACCCAGACTCCAACTACTAGATACTTCAGGTAACAATCTCTGGGTAGAGAACTAAATGAACTCAAGTACAGACATACCTCAAACAAAAAGATAACAATTATTTCTACAAACTCGAAGGTGAAGTAATTTTTGTGAACTCGAAAACACCAGAATTGAGGGTCGATGTAACAAAAACAAAGACGTCAAGAGGTAATATAGGCATTAATAGCAATCGAAACTGGAAAAAAAAGTCAGAAACTATAAAGATGATAAGACGTAGTTGCGGGTTTAATGAATTCCTGAAAACACTGTATCCGTCCAGTATCGTTGAAATGAATGATTTGTAATTGATCAGCATTGCGAGGGAACAGGCTTTAACAATAACTGTAGCAGAAGTTATCAACGAAATATCGCAGGTAAGAAATGATAAGTGACGTATTAATTCAATTCATTTTATCTACTAAGAAGCTTGAATGCAGAACAGATAACCGTAAGAAGTAAAACTAGACAAAAAATCTTCGAAATTTCAAGCGCAGTGGAAGAAATTTTTACTGTGTGGAAAATGAGTTTATACAACCCAAGAAATAATGAAGTATCCAGTGAGGAAGAGTAAATGTAATGTACATACCTGATTTCTTGTGTACGGGTAACCAATTTTACTCATAAACAAGATGTGGTCAACCATTTTCTTTTCTTCTTCATACGTAAAAAATGTTGGGGGGCCAGGTCGAGAACATTCCAAACTAACCCGTCCATGAACTCTGTCACGAAGAGTGGACTCAGGAACATTGAATGCCGTCGCAGCACCACGTAGAGACATCCCTTGATACTTAACAGCATTGTACGCATTTGTCATATCTCTCTGAGTCCATCGTCTTCTCCGTGTCTAACAGAGAACTAGTTTATAATACTTACTGTAAATTACTTTAGGTCTCTGAAGGCTTCGTCCTGATACAGAGTCAAAGTTACGATAAAAAAGTATTTGTTGGTGATAATCACTATAACTATCCGCTGAGTTTATTACATCATCTTCTTTATCTTCTCCCTCAAAAGCATCATCAGAATATGATAAATCTTCATCTGTTGCCATAGTGACGGACTACTAGAAGGATAAGAACAAAGAATAAAGCAGCAGGATGAAAATATAAGATAATGAAAAAGCGACCTTATACAAAACTGGCATAACTATTAGGTCATAAAAGTAAGCTAATAACTTGAAGGTAACTAAAATGACCATATTTGTAAAATCCCATCAGATCAGAAGAAAATAACCACTAGGTAGATGTATCAGATGCTAAATAAGTGAAAACCAACTACTAAATCCGGTTTTTGTAAGCAGATAATAAATAGTAACAATGTAAGTAAACACGGAATATTGGTTTATGCACTAGGCTATGAGCCAGGCTGCGTGAAGCCATATGATAATACACAGTTTTCCAAGACAATGGTAGGATTTGAAACCATGACCTATCGCTTGACAGTAGAAGGTGTAATCCAATGAGCTACCTAATAGCAGGCAAACCAATTGGTTGTTAGTTTTCCTAGGTAGCGTATGTGTATGAGCAACTGTTAACACAAGACGGGAATAACGATGTCTTAATCTGTGAACAGCAATATACGAGTACAGTTAAGATAATGAGATAGAATCTGAAACGTCCTATTTTTTATTGAACTTCATGTAACTTTTTATACCCTGCAAACTCCGGTTCAGAAGCCTAAGTTTCACTTCGTTGTAAACCTTTAGTTAATTATTTTAAAAACTATACACTACATACCCAAAGTGATCCCATAAATACTTTCAAACCTTAGTGCAACTAAATCTGATACAGACAAACGTTCTACTCTATGAACTACAGAATACATACGGTCTTATGATAATACCCAGTTGCATAGGCCATGGTAAGTGGAGTAGAATTGGAGACATGAACCTATGAGGTGCAATACTGATCTCACTTCCAAGAATGAAGATAATACTTCAAACACTTTGGAAACCCTCGCTCAACTCGTCATGATCATCACCAACTACCAACATGGGACCAGGCATTACTGCGCAACGGTCCCAGTTGCCACACCTCATATCACCACATAAAGTAAAAAGGCAGTGAGGTGCAAGATGAAGATAAGAGAATACAGTCAAAAGAAATATCAAGTACGAAAAGAGAGAAAGGAAGAATGAGAAAATGGTGAGATTTAGTGTAGCGTCGTTAAGATGAGGGTAATGTGTGTATGCATCTGCGCCACTGACATCAGTTCTCAGCCACATCACCTCGAGTCTCCAACTACTGGTCCGTCTTGTTCCGCGGACCCTAACCGACTAGTCTGCATCGCTCCCCCCCCCTTCACATGGCTTAAACCAACAGTCAACGACTCCATACATTGGTGCCATGTTTCAGTTTGGCCACCTCAGGCCTTTTTCCAGCCTGCACCTACTTCAACCAACATTGTGTGACGAGGAAGACGGTGACTAGGCATACGGACTACGTGTCCCAGTCAGCCATCTCAGTCGATGAAGGTTCATGACCGTGTCAACTAATTTGCCTCTACTCCTTAAAACTCTACACCGGACGCCTGCGTTACTCACGTGGCGACACCACGGAATATGGTCTATACTACGAAGGAAGCAGTGGTCAAACACCTGAAGCCTTCTCATGTCTTCCACCTTCAATGCCCATGTTTCACAGCCATACAGTAGAACAGACCGGACTGCTGTGCAGTACACGCGACTCTTAATAGACAATCGGATATCATGGTGGCACCATAGGTGGCCTAAGTTGGCGAAAGCTAGCCGAGCCTTTTGTATCCATGCAAAGATTTCATCGGTCACTGAGCCACCAGGGTTGATCCTACTTCCCAGGTAAGTGAAGTGGTCGACACACTCAATCACTACACTCTTTGTTATTAGCCGTGGCAAAGTTGAAGACCAATCCTGGAGCAACAATTTGCATTTCGGTGGTGAGAAACGCATCCCAATCATTCTCGAATTCCCACTCAAAGTGTTCAGCAGACTCTGCATCTTGTCAGCGTCTTCACCTAACACGACTATATCATCTGCACATTCTAAGTCTAACGGAAATTCTCCTGCGATTAGGTCAGGTGACGAGAGGGAGACCTCCATAAGAATATCTATGATAAAATTGAACAAGAATGGAGACAGTGGGCACCCTTAACGGACACCACTCGATGAGCATAGCTCCCCAGACATCTCACCACAGGCTCTAACACGCCAACAAGTGTTCGAGTAGAGAGCCGAGCTTTCAATAAGGTGATGTACTTACTCAACACGCCTTTCAGTGAGGGACATTGTCATAGGACTTCTCGATCAACGGAGTTGAATGCCGCCTTCAGGTCGAGAAATACAGCTATCGTTGGGTGTCGGTAAGTGTGCCTGTGTTCCAGGACCTAGCGCAGTGTGAATATTTGGTCGACACACCCGCGGCCGGGTCTAAAGCCTGCCTGCCTGGTTTTCTCGGGCTTGCTGTTCCCAAGCTCCACTCAAGCGTCGGAGAATTATAGAACCTAGGATCTTGGACAGTATGCTCGTCAGGCTGATTCATATGTGCTTATCACAAGAGGACTTCTCGTTTTTCTTAAAGACTGGAATAATTAGTGACTTAGACCAGTCAGAGGGGATCGTATTTGATTCCCATATACTGGTTAACACTTCCGTTAACTTGACTAAGAGCATTTTACCACCATCCTTGTATACCTCTGGAGTAAGCCCGTCTGGTCCTGCCGTCCCTCCTAGTTTCAGGTTGTCTACTGCTTTCTCGACTTCTGCTAGTGTTGGGGGGCCTATCTCAATGTTCCATTCAGGATCCGACTGGATAACAGGCAACGCAATGGTGACTGGGGGCCAGGTAAACTGTTCCTCGAATTGTTCTGCTCATCGTTCCAGTCATCTCCCCTGCGAGTCAATCGCAGATCCACCCTTCTTTGATATAGCCTCACTAACTGTTGTTGACCTCTTCCCCCCAGTCTCTTTAATAAGTCTAAATAACTATCTACTGTCACCAATTGCCGCTGCCTTTTCCATCTCTTTAGCCTTCGCTGCCCACCACTGTTCGCAGTCATTCCATAGACTTTTTCTCAATCTACTTTTCAGTTGCACTCCCTCTTCATTGTACTCAGAGCCTGTAGGAATGCGTTCATGTGCATCCATTAGTTCGGAAGAAGCTGCTGATATCCACTGGCTCTTTTTAGCCACTACTTCAGAGTCGGCTACGGTCTTCAGCGCTGTTTTTACAGCAGACTGGAGATGGCACCAAGCTTCTTCTGGATGAGTGATGGTCTTCTGCTTCGGTAACTGCCTAGCCAACTTCTCAATGAACATGGCTTTGGTGTTTTCGTTGTCCAGGAGCACTCGAAGTGGTTTCGTTGCCAAATTTTCCTTACGTCCATTGAGACGCAGGCATATACGCACTCGGACCAACACGTGATCGCTGTCCAGAAAAATCGGAAGTCTTTCACCGATCCTCTCCAGCGATGACTAGTAGCAATGTGGTCTATCTATGTCCGTCGCTGAGTTGAGCTCGGTGGACGCCACGTTAGACAGTGTCTTTCTTTATGTCTGAAATTTGTGCTAGCTAAAAACAAGCGGTTGTCTGAGCACAGATGTAGTAGGCGATCACCGTTATCTGTTCGTTCAGTCGGGATTCCGAAAGTGACACCTAAGTGCCTTTCTGACTCCCTCAGTCTACCCACCTGTGCATTGAAGTCACCTGCAACAACGACCACATCTAAGCGTTTCGCTTTCAGAAGGAGACTAGGCAGTTTTCGGTAGAACTTATACTTCACTGCTTCCGAACTGCAGTCAGTGGGTGCATAAGCAGAGATTACAAAAAGATACTGGCGAGTTTCACCATTCCTTTTAGTTCTCACTGTGCCATTCAGTCGGATAGCGCAGAGGCGACTATCAACTGGGATCCAGTCTAGTAGTGAGTTTCCTGCCCTAGTGCTTAGTGCTATGCCTACACCTGCAAGACCGCGAGAGAAAGCTACCAAATCTCCAGAAACTCGAAGGGTGGATTTCGCGAACTCACCAGATTGGCCGAGAAGACCTTAGGTGAACAACCTCACTTCGGTCCTGTATGCGTGTCTCACAAACACAGCACACATCCATGCCCCGAGTTGTTAGAGTCTTTGCCAACGAAGCCTGTTGACCAGTTTTGACGGAGAGTACGGACATTGAAGGCTCTAATATGTAATTCGGAGCATGGTTTAAGGAGACCAAGGATGCTGTTCTGTGGACTCAGGTCGTTGTCGAAGGCTGTAGAGCTAGGAGAAATTGAAGGTGGTGTAGTATCATCAATTGAGAGAAGTGAAAGAAGATTAGAAGGTAATGATGAGGGAGGTGGATAGCAGTCTGAGGGAACTTGAGTGCTGACAGAGTTGTGAGGACGGTTGACACTTCCTAGCTGCCCACACCGTGGAAGGCTATTTCTTCTTAAGGTACCTGGAAGAGATTTGTGTGACCACACAGCCCATCGGACATCTGCTTGAGGCCTGTCACATGAAGCCTTTTGTGTATGATTATTTTGAACTTTTGTATTTTTGGGGCCGGATGTTTGAAAAGATACGACAAATGAACCAACACCACCGGCCCGGCAGACCGTGGGGTATGATGGGGTGTCATTTTTGGGGCCGACCTTTTCTAAGACGCCCCCTCCCTTTCACTGAGAAGGCAGCATCAGCATGGCACTGCTGATCATCCAAGGGAGACACCTTACTGCTGTCGCATCCCATCCAGATAGCAGCAGTACGACTTCGCCTTCAGACCCTCCATCAGAGTGTAATAATTTACACCACAACGGTAACTGCTTTTTGTCGAACCACTATCCAACAGACCTTTCTGGTACGGTAAGACCTCGAGGGAACAAGTGTTCCACCAGCATAGCTCGTTGGTTCATTGTGATATGCAAGCCCAACCACCACGTCCAAGTAGCAGCTATTGGTCGTTTAACTCAACTGAACCAAGTCTTAATATGAGTACACTCAGCTTATCAAGAGGTCGTGAAAGTATTTTGTATAATATTGCAGTGACGAAGACAGAAACCGAAGTAGTGGTAGATTTTCAACTTATCAGTCTGGAAAATCCAGTAGTTA